CCCGGTTACAATTTATCGGCGCAGTTTCCCTTGAAAAGGAGGGGTGAGTAAGAAGAAGGTGGATGGGGTTCTCATAAAGGTGAGGCGGCTACAGAATCTGAACATTGAGGGGTACACGTCACTCATGTTGAAAGGAAAGGGCTGACTCCTCTGCTCGCTTCGCAAAAAACACGCAACTCTAATCGAAACCCTATCTTCAGGTGCGGATTTTTCTAAACGCGATTACATCGCTCGGCAAGGCATAAATACGGTTCCCGAACTTCAAAATTGTACGTGATAGAGTCTAGGAAAAAGAAACTTGGAGCTTGAAATTTTCAGTTCAGCGAAAAAAAAAGAATGCAACTCAAGTCAAAATGATTTCGATCGAGTCTATTCAATTATCATTATAAAAAGAAGAAGTATTCGGGCCTCCCTTTTAAACGTTTCTCCTGAATCTGAGCGACTTTTAAGTGCCAGCATAGATTGGGGCATTGCGAGTTCACGTCTCGCGCCAGCGCGCCTTCAATTTTGCAGACGCAACACGGACATCCATCGAGTACGAATAGTTGTATCACTGCGCCGTAATCAACGCGCGTCGTTCTCCTTGATCTATCGCCGTATTGTGTTTGCTTCCGTCTGTTTTATTTGTGGTGGTGCCTCAAGGGGTTTGTGAAGAATATGGCCGAAGATAAATGAAAAACTGAATAGAGCCTCGTTTGGTTAATTGCCGAATTGGCCGAATTGGTGCGACACTTCATCGGCAGCATAGAGCGGAGCTTTGCAAGTAGGTTGAAAGATGTAATTGCCCTCTACTTTAACTCTGCCAAAGACTTGCTGATCGATTTTTATGTTTTAAAATAATGAATTTAGAAGGAATTGATCCTTTAATAAATCACGTGAATCACTTCTCTATCGCGGTATTTACAAGGATAATACTAAAAAAAACCACACATCTTCGCGTTTCCCATACGAAGAAATGCAACTCCATTCCAAGGTTCCAATTCGACTCAAGCAATTCAATTTTTAACAAGGCTGTGCCTGCGCAATATTTTCTCAAAATTTGTCTGATTTTTGCATGAAATCAGAGGAGAAATTATTAACATTGTCAGTTAGGAATGCCCGAGATTTTCCTAGGAAAAATGAAATTTCCCAGGGGAAATTTGGCAGCAGAGAAATATAGTTGCATTCTCTCGCGCAGGAAACGACTATTAATTCCGTTAATCAAACCGTTGAATTCGTAAAGTAAGTCGTATTTGTTTAGAGATTTCTGGAGATAGTATACATCAAATAACGACGGTGAAACTACCAAACCACGTATCTCGTTTGCGGTGTTTAAAAATCTACGCTCACATTTTATTTTTTTGAAGTGGACCAAATCAATATCATTCCTTGAAATTTTCACAGAATTTTCTCCGCACAAAGAGGAAAAATCACAGAAATTTTCAAGACTGGACGTTATGTAGTTTTTCATTTAAAAAATAAAGTATGTCAGGAAGTCTGCGACGTCGCAAACCGAGATACGTGGTTTGGTAGTTTCACCGTCGATAAGTGACATTGCATCGACATCGATTGATTCAACATGTAAACATCGCCTCAAAAGTGATTTGTGATAGATTTCTGAATCTTATGCGTACATTATGACAATGGAAAGTGAAATTGTTAGGAATTTCCTCATTTTCAGCTTTTCCAACTGAAATCTTAAAACATATGTTTGAGGTTATGTCCTATTGTTTTGAACCAAACAATACATCAAACTACAATCGAACACGATCCACATTACGAAATTTTGCCACTCTGTTTAAAACGAATGAAGTGGGTTTCCCGCTTCCCACTTGACAATTATCCGCACACGGTAACTGGTACATTCTCTGGACGATGGAATTCCAACAATCTCGTGGCTCGCCCAGATGGGGGTCACTGTATCCTCACTCACGCGTCCCATTTGTTATCCTCCCCGTCTGCCTTTCACTCGCAGGGACGGAGCTCGTCGCCCCTCCACCACCCCTTTTCAGCCCCTCCTTTGAATGATTAGCGGGTGGTTCAAGGGCTCCATCTCCTCAAAAATATTCAGGTCATCCGTTCTCCCATCGTCGGTGAAAGTTGTCAGGCTGTATCCCGGTTCAAGCGGGGTCACACTGTCCTCCTTGGGTCAGCATACGTGCTACGGAAAAACGCCGTATGAACCTTCAGGCGTTGCCCAATTTCATTTGATGAACACGAATTTCCTTGTGAACTTATGAATATTTTCTTTCCAATTTTTCAGATAAATTTGTTCGCAATCTGATTTGAAGTATTTGAAAATTTGAAGGAAAAATATTCATAACTTTCTTCAAAAATTAATGTCTGAAAGGGGAATATTTGACAATTCCTGGAGGCTCATGCGGCGTTTTACCTTAGCACGGCAGCATACTAGTTGAGTGAGGTACGGTAATTATCTTGCAATAAGGTGCTAAAAGACATAAAAGATATGTTTTACAAACCAATAAATATGTCATTCATCACTGAACGATGAGATCAGGGTTGAGAAAGTTATGATTTTATGATAATATCTCATATGAAAAAAGCGCACCGTGTGCATCGGATCACTTTTGTGTTGTATGCGTGCGGAAAGTTGAAACGCCTTCAACTGACGCGTATGCAACGCGCGCATCCATCGAATGCGAATAGTTGTATGCAGCGCCTTGGTGATAGCATATTAACGCACGACAGAGCTAGTTGCTAGCATGTTTAAACTCTTGATATGCTCGCGGTAAAAATCTTTCGATAGAATTAGTTCAAAAATTTACATGGACACTCGTTGAACTTAAGTGATTCAATTATGTGAATTTGGACTGTTTGATTACGTCCAATTATAATTATACATGTTTAAATTGGGTTTAATTGAATTACAGGAGCTAAGTTATAGCTTGTAAGTGGATTACAAGAATTATCAAAATGGTTCTCTCCTTCTTTGTGGAATTTTGATCATGGAACATTTTTCCGTTACTTTAAACATGGAATGTTTTCCCCTCGGTGAAATCCAGAAGACAGTACCGCTATACCTCCTCTTTGAGGACAACTTCATGGAAGGAAACCGAGAATCAAAGTGGAACTACAAACTCGGGTGTATGTTTTTACTCATTCCGAGCACGCTCAAACTTGCGGGATCTTTGTGCAAACTTGAGCAACCAGACGCCGAAGAAGTGCTACTAATATATCTTCTTCAAGGATGGCATCCGAGCAAAAAGGATAAGATTCCAGCCCCAACTTGGAACGGCACGCTCCGAGCTCTTATTAAACGCACACTCTGTACAAATTCGGAACGGTGAATGTATATTTGCAAAGGGATCGAAGTATGAGGCGCAGACACATGACAAACTTCGCTGACGGGGCGGTATTGCTCGATTCGGGAGGTTTCGCTGGTTTGTTTGCCTTGAATTAATAGTAACTTGGAGGATTTGGCAGCGATGCTCTGAAGTTATCTCACGCTCTCACTTTGTCATGCAAATAGGAAAAACTGACATTTAATCGGGTTTCGGCTTGGTTAATAATAGATTCCGTGCCCCGCTCGGATTTGCGATTAATTTTTCAAACCCTAATCCGAAAACCATCGGAACACATTCTGTGGGAGGAAACCTACTGGCTTTTTTATAAAAATTTGATAACACTGATAAGTTGAAGCTTCAGAGGTGAAGTTTATTTTCACAATACAAAAGTTTAAAAAACACTCATTTCTTCGATTGTGGATTCACTTTTGTATTTTTCTCTTCGTAGGTTCTATAAATCCACATGGAATGTTTAATAAAATCAGTTTAAATACGGCATGTTGATTATCCCTAATGGTTCAATAATCCTGTTTGCCTTCGAAGCTAGGCTCGTGTTTGATTTATACTGATTTGAGCTGATTAGGAGAATTTTTACATAAAATCAAGAGTCTTTAAAGCTCATTTGGCCGAAAAAATTGACTATTTTAGTTTTTGAATTCAAAATTAGTCGTTTCGGAGGAAGGTGTGCAATTATTTTCCTAAAACCTGCTTTTCTAATGATTGCGCAACCTGTTTAAAGATTAGAAATGTCGAATTCACCGCGGGACATGAATTCGATTTTTGAATTGATGCAATCTATGCCGGAAACATCATCCCTCACCAGAATTTTTGTCTCGTCGTTTCTTTTTGTTTTTATGTTTTGTCAATCCAAGTCTGCTGTTTTTGCAATTGGTTGTGTTTTAGTGTTTCGTATTTTCTTATTTTCTTCTTAATTTCATTTAAAAACAATCTGAACTCTGATTGGCTCCTGCGTTCACCGATCATCAGCATATCATTCCCCCAGTAAAAGTGAGTTAGTCTGACGTCAGGCTATGTTTCATAAACTACCCTGAGTCTGACTGATTCAGGCTGACATCAGTCTGACATCAGCCTGAATCAGTCTGACTCAGGGTAGTTTATGCAACATAGCCTGACGTCAGGCTGATCCATCTTTATCAGGGTCAGCATTCACACTGAAAAAAAAATCTCGGTGTATTTACCTACTGAGAAAAGGGTAAACTTACCAAGCATTCAGGGTTCTATTTGATCCCAGTTTTTCTCGGTAAAATTACCATTTATGGAATTGGTAATTTCACCGAGAATCTCGACAAAATTATTGAACTTTCTCGGTAATTTTACTTGACTTTGGTAAAAACGCCAATATTTTTTTTTATCGACTGTGGTAGAATTACCGAGATAAAATGGCAAAGTTACCGGGAATTGATTACCAATAAAAGTGGTATTCTTACCTGAAAAAACAGTAAAAATATCGGTTTTTAGGTGAGCTTACCAGTCTGGTAAAATTACCAATAATTGGTAAAAAAAGTGAAATGGTAAAGGTACCAACGGACCTTGGTAAAAACGCCGTGAATTTTTTTTCAGTGCATCAATTCGCTTAATGAACGATATTCGATCGCAAAAATTCGCTGAAAATATGGCGCCCTCGAATCACCTTAAATGTTTTCGATGAAAAATAAAGAGGGGAATATTCAAAGGACAGGTAGATGGTGGACTGACCTGGTTGGACGAGCCGGACGTCGAGGATCTTGTCGACCTGGCTGTTGTAGGCGGTGATGTGGAAGACGCACTCGGGCGAGTCCTGGATGCAGGTGATGTTGACCGGCACCAAGTCCTTGCTCACCTCCTCCCACTTCACCAGCCCCGAGGCGTTCGCCGACACGTGGTACACCTCCGCCCATATCCTGCAACATACCCGCACATCACAATTAATATCAAATTAACCATTAAAAACTAGGGGGCTTTGCCCCCTGGCCGCCTCGCGGCCCAACCCCCCGGGCGCTGCGCAACCCCAAAGGCTGCTTCGCGGCCAGCGAAATCATCGAAATCGCCCGTTGGCGGTTTAAGTGATTTGATTGTGATTGACGCCATACTTTATGTCAGAACGGCATGCGATATATCGCATCAATTGGTTCCATTATTTCAGCTACTCGTCATTTTTCTCCAATTTTGAGATCGCAATTCTGTTGTCAGGAGACTAAAGCACTCAATTACCAATTAGAAATTCAATTTAATAAAGGCGTGGTTTTTTTTAGAGAGAAAATGTCGCATTCGAGTGCAGTTTCGATATCAGTATCGAATGCGATGTTTTCTCTCTGAAAAAATCACGCCTTTATTACGTTGAATTTCTTTGTTAAAATTGGTAAGTGAGTGCTTTAGTCTCCTGACAACAGAATTGCGATCTCAAAATTGGAGAAAAATGACGAGTAGCTGAGATAATGGAACCAATTGATGCGATATATCGCATGCCGTTCTGACACAAAATATGGGGTCCATCGAATCACCTTAATGAGCAAATAATTTTAACTGAATAACAAAACGATGTTTCAAAGAAAAATACTCCGCCAAATAATAGTCTTGATGACTTTCTCCCTCCACAAAGAAGGTACTAGATTGAGTTCTTCCTGGGAGGAGACGTATAGCAGGGGACGTCCAGTGAAAAAGGGACGACAGGAGAGTTTAGAGGAAATAGGGAAGTGTCAACTCCCTGAAAGGCTTCGGGAGGATAGGGATAGGGAACTTTGGCGGCTGGAAGTCGCAGAGTGCCAAAGAGCGCTGTGAGAGCGGCTTTTATGCACGTATATATCGACGGCATAAGTCCGCAATCACATATCTCCTTTGCGAGTCTGAAAATCTCCGCCTCTATGCTATTCTTTTAAAAGAGAACAAATTGACATCATTCCTTCAAGTTTTTGCAGAATTTTCTTCGCACAGAGAAGAAAAATCACGGCAGTTTTGAAGAATTTCCGTTTAAAAAATAAAGTATGACAGGAAGTCTGCGACGTCGCAAACCGAGTTATGTGATTGCCGACTTTACACCGTCGTTATATTTGGACCGCGTGAGATGAACCAAGCCTTATCAGGCATCGCCAAAATTAGGCGATTTAATTTTTTTTATAAAAACGGTTGTGCGGCTTTTCGTGCAAATTTCAGTGAATTTTCTCCATGTTGGTACGAAGCAAATTCCTTAAAATTTTCAAAGGAATCTGCACACACGTTTTCTCGTAGAAAATTAAATGGCCCAATTACATTTGGCAATAACTGATGTGGTTTGGTTCCTCTCTGTTTAACGCGGTCCATTTGTCCTTTTATGAAGTTTCCTATTAATTTTTCCGTTTGGAAGAATGATTGTCAGAAACCCAGAAAGTTCCGGCCTTTTGAACGACTGGAATTCAGCAGTGGGCGCCCATATTTTCGTGTTTCTTTTTTTCGCCAAATATTTCGGGCAATTGTTGTGTTGATTGTGGAGGCGTACATGAACATGAACAAAAACATAAGTACGAACTTGAATATGGAATAGAACAGGAGCCGTCCTCAAAGGAGCTTGGAAGGGTAAGGAGGGCATCTCAAAATTCTGCCCCTTTTCTGCGACCATCTCTACCGGAACGAATTTCCTTCAGAAACCCCATCAGAATGGAAAGTGAAGTATCACGGTCTCTGATCTTTTCGTTTCCTCGAGAAAAAGACGAAGATACGATGACTTGCTTAGACGTGATGGGCCGAGAAGATGAAATGGAAGGATGGCGGGTAGGGGATGAGAGGACTTAAGTGCGGTTCTAGAATTTTTCACCGTTGAGTGCATATCCGTCAGTGGCGAGGCGCGAGTGATCAATTATCGATATTTGTCCATTCGAAGCTGTAGTACAGAATCGATTATTAAGGTTTCCGTTGCGAACACTCTGTAAATCGATCCTATTCCATAGGTTTAATTGGCAGATCAATCGATACATCGAAAAGTACGCCACGTTGCTGATAACCGTAGGTGAAAGTCAATGGATCCTAAAGAGGGGACAGACAACACGGGTGAACTCGTAGCCTGCTAACGTAAGGACCTAAATACCCTTTGAGATGAGCCCCGCTGTCCGTGAAAATCCTTGTTTTTCAGGTCTCACGAGTTAATCGAGTTAGCCTCTTTAGTCAGCGGAGCGATAAAACGGGAAGCAAGAGCAGGCGGACACTGATTCTGACGTCGAGTTTATGATTATCTGGCCGTCTCTGTTACACTCAGGTTTGGGTGTTGCCAAATTGTCATTGAAAGGCGCATTCCGGTTTGATGCAATAATCACGAGTTTGTACGTGACCGGATGCGTGAAAAAGGACTCGACCCTCCAGAAAAATACTCTCCAAGAAAGCCGAATTCCGGGAACAATGTCAAAATTGGCAATTTTGAGTGCTTCAGCCCCGAATTCATTTCAACGTAATCCAATGCCACTTTTCACAGCACTAAAAATCGCAGAAAAATTTAATCTTTGCAGCCTCTTTGCAGCATCATATATCATGTCAAAGTTTCCCTTTAAGCGATTAAATAGAGCGCGCGTAGCGCTCTTTTTTACAAATGAGCCGGATGAGATTGGATTCCTTGAATCTGAGGGTATAGTTTCAACTTTCCTATTGCTTTCACATACGAGGAGTAGAAAGCCATTTGGACTACATTTTGCAATTTGGACCCATAGATTCTAGCCCGGTTTAAAAACAACGTATGTGCCATTAGTTTCCCTATGCACATAAGTGTTTTGCAAGATGAGCCACACTTTATAGTTCCAAATTGCAAAATGCAGTCCATTTAATGTTGGGCGCAGAAACCCGTGCTTACTTCTCATTGGCACCGGATGACATCATTCGATTCGGCGCGAAACCGAGGTGTTTTCAATTTGCGGAAAAGTCGCGCCTATTGAACTGGTAATTTCTTGATTTTTGAGATTTTTTGGGTTTTTAATTTGCGTATCAAGTTCTACGTGTCAGTTACCTCCAGAAAAATGTAATTGGAAGTTAAAATTCGTTCATGGTTTGGTGATCGCTTGCTTGTTCGTCCGCGGATTGGAATTAATCGCCGAGTCCAGCTGGCTATTCGGGTGTCAAAGATCTCTTGAAAATATGTCCCGGGTCATCGTCGAGGGCGGATCATCGTGCAAAACTGCATTGACCCCCCGCCCCCCTCTCCGCCCCCTCCCTGCCCCCTCACCCCTCCCGCGGGGGCTCCTTTGTGGCTGGAGTCCTCTCCTCCACTCGACCGAGAGCTTGATCCGGTTATCTGTCTATTTTGAGAGCTTGCATTGTCTCCCGGGTCGCTCGCGCGGTTGCCAAAGTTGGCGGAAATTCGGAATTTATCTTTTTTGAGTCCGAGTAAGCTGGAAACGACTGGCAAGGGCGATCGCCCAAAGATAGACGTCCTTGCGAGCAGTGCTGGATTGCGTTTGTGAGAACTGGATCCCTCCGTAGTGATACTCGTTCTATTTTGGTGCGAAATGATGCATTTTATGCTCTGAAAATACCCGATTTTATTGGAAAATTCGACTCCGCTATTTTTGTCCATTTTTGCGTGAAACGAAGACGCTAACGTCATCCTAGGTCGTCAACGTCGCCCTAAAGTCGCGAATACACTCATAAAGTTGCTAACGTCATCCTAATGTCGCTATTATAAAGTCGCTAACATTCTCCTATAGGCGCTAAAGTCATCCCGAAATCGCTGACGTCATCATGACGTCTATGGATAACTGCAACAAATTTTGCATTTAGCCACACTCATTTCGATGGTTACATTTAGCCACACTCATTTTGATCGTTACATTTAGCCACACAGCACCAATAACTTGTGGTTAAATGCAACAATTTTTGTCGCGTGGCGCCACGAGCCGTGGGTAAATGAACAAATACCGAAATGAAGTTGTTGTTACTTCCCTTCAGAGGAATTTAATTTCTCACTAAAAGTGTAAATTATAAAATACAAATTGTGTATTGTAAATCTTGCGCATGCACTGGATGCAAAATTCAATTTACCATGATTATATCACGTTCGCTTGTTTAAGCCGTCCTTAAAGCCACTACTCTCAGCTTTCTAACACGCTACAGATTTTTGAATTTAGTTCGATAAAACTCTAGAAAAGTGGATTTCCTCTCCGCGCGGGTCTAAAATTTCACGGAGTGCCATCGGCAAATGAACTGCTGTGTCTATCGTGAGGGATAGATAAAATTCTATCGAACCAAATTCAAAAATCTATAGCGCTTTAAGGAGCTGAGAGTAGTGGCATTTCAACGATTTTTTACAGATTTTCTTTATTTACGAGCATTTCAATTTAAGAGATATTGAATAGGTAAACTTACTCTCTGGATGCGACCCTCATACATCCGTAATTTTTATATAATTCTAAGAAAAAAAAATTGGTTCAAACGCTCTCTCTAAGGTTCTTAGTTTGATCACGGCACCACAGTACTTGAGAGGAATATAGACACACTGGAATTTCTATTTCTGATGGGTTGAGTTATAACGATTCAATCGGCAACAGCCTCTCCCACGTAAAATCGCCGCCATTTTACTGGATTATAAAGGTTTCCATGTTAGAATGAGTGTATATACTCTCCCATATAGGTACTTAACTTGGAACTAAAAAGGTTGAACGAGGATGCAAGTTGATCTCCAACATTTACTTCAAAACCATGGGAAGTGATTAGTGCGTGATCGCCCCGATATTTCGTCCCGGGTAAGCTGAGTGCTTTTTTGGCGCAACCTCACACCGGGATCGATTCTGGTAAAAGTTCGCTTCTCTTGCCGACGGAACGTTCCATTTTTACTCGAGCTCCGCACAGTGAACAGAGCCAATCGAGGCAGTCGGACATGATCTCAAAACTTTGAAAGCTCACATCTCTGTTAAAACGAAACGTGGGGACAAGGGGGTTTAAAAGTGGC